GCGACATCAAAAAAGTTGAAGGAAACCATCCCTACCACATTTCATGTTACACAAGAAATGTGATCGTACTGGTACAACCATAACTGGTTTCGACCGCTTAAAATCTAACAAGATATTTATAAACTTGATCAGTATTTATACAGCTTTTAGAATTCATAAAAACTAAAGAAGTACAAACTAGCATACGAATATAAAGTATTGCAACCTTATAATAAGTATAATCAGATACGTAAATAAAATTGAATAGTTAAAAAAAACTATATTTAAAACTTTTTTTCCTACGAATCACAAATACTTTATTTTTTAATAGAGTCATTGCAGCATTATAAAAAATCCAAATTATTCTATACCAAACCGTAATATCAAATATTTAAGACACATGTAAGTGAATAAGCGAAATGTCAATTTACCAAGAGATTTATGCTAATGACAGACTAAATGCACAAAACAGATTACAGATGTTTTAGAAATTGTAAAGCTGAGTATATGATAACTGAATCTACAAAAGATCATTTCTAGTTAAGAGAGATAAATTAAAACTACAAAATATTACAGTAGTAAGCTTTAGAGTTACATGTTAGTTTTTAGGTGTATTGAAGTTAATAAACATAAGGTTAAGAATTCGCTTATTCTTATAACATTTCTTATAATATTCACTTTTATTATCTTTTAATTTATATTTATAACAATGGTAAGAACCAGTAACAATGTATATTTAAATGATGGAAACATTATTTTTTCTACAAAATTCAATGGCTTCTTTATGATTTTTCTGAGCAGCTCTTCTAATATATTTCACACCTAATTCTTCATCTTTAACACCAGTAAGGCCAGCATAAAGTATATTTCCAAAATTATACATGCCAACTATAAGTCCATTATCAGCAGCTTTCTTAAAATATTTTGCAGCTTCTGAATAATTTTTATCGACACCCGTACCATTAAATAAACATAACCCGTATTTTAATTGTGCATCAGGTATTTCATCACTTACATCCGCAACTTCTTTAAACAATTGAGCAGCACGCCTTTCTCTTTCTTCTTCAGTATAAGAAGTATTTATTAGCTTTTTGTAAAGGTAATAACCAACAAAGTATTTTGCTTTTAAATCCCCTAAATTAATTGCGTATAAAGTTAAAAATAAATTTGTAGATGTTTAAATAATTATTTATTTTGGATATTTAAATAGACATTAAATCAACAAAAAATGTAACTAATGAGATTGCATACCTAATTTTGCATATGCATTTAAACATTTGAATGCCATCTCCAAATTACCATTAGTAGCACGATGAGTTGATACGGCTTCTTTCTTTGTCATATAATTAAATTCAGCAAAGTTGATAGTCTCTGCAACTTGAATTTTATCATATGGAATATTATTTTCATTATTATAAAAATGTGATATGGGCGAAACATCAGTAATTTTATAAGGTATTTTAGAGAAAAAGTTTGGAGTATTTGATGGTTCAAGTAGGTTTTGGAGAGTTTCAAACATTTCTGTTAAAGTTGGTCTAAATTCGGGATCAGCACTAACAGCTATAAAAAAAAATGAATTATGATTATTGAAATAATTGAAATAAATAGATAGGGTAAAATTCAAACCTTTTCTAGAGATATCCTTATATTCTTTTGGTAACCCAGAATAATCTGTAAATGGTTCACGATATTTTTCCTTATCTACACGATTTTTAATTTCCATAATATCATCGAGGTCTTCATATGGAATTCTTTGCTCTGCTAACTCCCATAAAAGAATACCAAAACTAATCGTTATATAGTATAATAATAATTGTTATAAAAAATCATTATTATTAAACAGTAATTATTTGATACAAATATGAGTAAAAGTGTAGATTTAAGCAAACACCTGTAGACTTCACATTTAGTATTATATTTATTATTATTTCTATATAACCTTTCAGGGGCAGTGTAGCGAACAGTTATACTGCATCTATTAAATAAAAAGTTGGCAATTTTTGCAGTTTCGTTTGCAGTAATCAAAATGTTTTCCGGCCTAATGTTTTGGTGAACTATCTGAATATTTATCTATTTAAATATATAGTTCAATAAATTTTAATATAAAAATCATGACAAATGAAATCACCTCTACAGCCAATAAAAAGTTTAATCCTCAAGCAATATCAACTGCAATACTTAATTTTTTTCTAGCGTCAATAGGGCCACCGTAACGGTAATTATTATAAAATTCTCTTAAATTGCCACGTTCAGTCCACTCAGTCACTAAATAAAGCTTTTCGTCGTTGTCGTCAGAAATAAGGCCATGAAACTGAATTATCTGATGGCAATCCTTAAGCTTCATTAGAATAGCAACATGTTTTCGAATATCATTTTGAACATTTATAGTATCTGATTCATCAGATACGAATTTAAAAGCGACAGCTTTGCTATCAACTAGGCGAATGTACTTTCTAACTTTTTTTCCACGTGTTTCATCTGTTTCTATAAAATCAGCAAGTTCAAGTAGCTTATTTTGATCTTCAATAATTTCCTGAATTTGCTCTCGACTTTCTCGATTAGATCTTGAATCCCAAATGAATTTTTTGACAAAATTTATTTCATTGATAGTCTCACTTATGTTATAATTTTCATCAGTAATACCACCACCTATTTTGAAAAGATACTGATAATATATGATTATTTTAAATACTACTTATAAACTAACTATCTGCTATAAGAAATAATAATAAAGAATAAAGCACCTGATTAAGTTTTTCAAGATCATTATCTATAATCTCTTTTTCATACTCTGTACGACTTTTTATGTTATATGTATTAATAAAATTTAACATATTTATGCATCTATCAAATTCTGTCGTTAATTCATAAAACATAGTTTGAATTGATTTGGTTTGACTATATTTTCGCAGCCCTTTTAATTGTGTTATTTCGCTAATGAATTTTTTCATCTTTTGGATAATATCTGAAAGTTTTTGTATGGCTACAAAATTCTGCTTGTTAAAAAATTCTTTGTGTTCGTCTTTATATGCTTT